GCAGTTGGAACCCCATGCTTACATTAGAAGAGCTTCGGTTGGCCACTTTTCGAGCGCACAAAAGGAGGGAGCCCGGACCGCCGGCCCTTCCAAAGGAAAGCTCTGGTGGGTTTCATGGCGTAAATCGTAAGCACAGGAGACGGGCGATGAATCGATTGAGGGACAAGATCCGGGCCACAACGCACAAGATGCAGGAATTATGAGCTGATTCGGTATTGTGGAGTGGAGCCACAATGTACTTTTTTTACCCCCCGGCATGTCAGAAATGTTGGTCAAACACGGCCCTGGTGACCGCCCGGCGATCACGGTGGGTGGTCCTGTTTTGACCACCGACCGTGCCATTGGCAAAAAATGACGCGGGAACTACCGTATAAAAGGCCCAGTAAAACACAAGTAAGGGGTTCTCCTCTTCGGATTCGACTATCGCCGTCAACGCGCCACCACCGTTCATCGTCTCCAGTCACCGTCACTCTCCAGCTCCACAACTTCGACCAATATTCAATCTATCTATTCTAATTGCATTCCAATTCGTTATTCACTGTTGCTAATAGTTATATAAAGTTGTTTACGTTGAAGAGCTTACTGTGACCATTCAGAACAAAACAGGGTCATCACACACCACACACAATTTTGACTTGGGGGCCAAGCCGAATCTCAACGGTCCATTAGGCTCTTCAAGTTAGCAACTTTACTTATACTGACGGCTCCTTGTCGGGTGTCAGTAATAAACTGATCTCTGACGGCTCTAAAGAAGGGTGTCAGAAATCGATCAGCGGTACCGGTAGCAGTTGCTGTCGTTGATACCGTGGTGTCTTGGCTTTCAGACGTGACACTGTGAAGTGCCCGTCAGAAGCCGGCCGTACTGAAGTACGTGCGGTCGGGAAAGAACAGGCCAAGACACCTGAATTCGTTCCGATACTGTCGAAGTATTTGCGAAATGTCTCGTGAAATGCAGAATAAGTCCGATACCATGGAGACTGGGCAAACTGGTTTTGTTCCAGAGTCGCAAGAGCCAGCTTATATGGCCGGTGGAATCGAGGATACGGTCAGTGCCCATAGTTCTGACTCGGATTCGGACGTTGAGATGCAGGTATGCCTCAAACTCATAGAGAAAGTTAATCGCCTAAGGGTGGAAATTCTAGCAGAAATTTCGAAACACCTTCGGCTAGGCGATGGAAGGCGTGACCAAATACAGGCCGTAGTAGAGCGAAGCATGGCACGCATACAGAAAAGATTAGAGCGACTAAAAGGAATTGTAGAGAGTCGCAGCAGTACTTTGGCCGCGATAGATGTACTGAAACAGTACGCGGACGAGAATGGAGAAGAGGAGTGGGTTAATAATCTTAGGCAGCTCCTAATGAATGGGAGAACCCTGCAGAAGGTAGCGCGTAAGCTGAATTGCGCTGATAACGAAGTAAAGCGTTATGTAAAAAGAGTGATAAAGAGCAAGGAAACCCTGGAAGATACAGTTTCTTCGTTACAGGAACTTTGCAATCAAAAGGACGATGAGATAAGAGCCCTTAAGGAAGAGCTCGAGAAAGAAAGGCGCAAGGTAGCCAAACTGGAAGCCTCTGGTAGTCGAGAGGAGCACACAAGTGGCCATTCCACGATACCAGGTAAGTCAAGGCATGCCTAGCGATGTCAATGACAGCCAAGAAGAGAGTACTCAATTGCAGAGTGGCTGGCACACGCAGGCGAAAAAGAAGGACTGTCGAAGCGTGAGCTCCAACGATTTGTTGAGCAGGACCTCCACACCGCGAGGTACGTCTGATAGTTCAGAAGAAAGTTCAAATAGTGGGAGTATGAGTGGAAGAGTAATACGGAAACATCATAGAAGGTCTAGGTTGAGGACCCAAGATACAATGGGGGAATATTTGAGATATGTAGCCTTGCCTGATGTTTCGCCGTACTCAGGGAAAGGAGTACTCATTCGAAAACTTTGTAGAAGCGTTTGAGTTGAAATATCCCGGCCAATACTGGGAGGATAAAGAACGCTGCGCTTTGTTCAAATCAAAGTTGGTGGGTAAAGCAAGGGCGCAGTATGAGGCGTTGCCCAAAACAAAAAAACGCAACTTTTACACACTAGTGAATGCGATGAAAGAAATGTGCAAGGAAGAAACGCGCAATAAGAAAATTATCGCACTAGGTGAACTTAAGCGTCTCAGAAAACCCGAGTCACAGTCAGTAGGGGATTTCTGTGTTGAATTAGAGCGACTGACACGTAGAGCCTATCCTGAATTGGAGGAAAGGACGTTGTCAGTCATTCGTGCAGACCACTAGTATGACCAACTCTCCCACTGGGACGAATCCTGCCACCTACAAGAGGCTTTGGAAGGACCTGGTGGCGACATGTATGAAAAGCTGAAGGATGCAGCGATGAGAGTGGAAAGGAGGCATATAGCTCTCGAAAATCGCGTGAGAATGAAAGTCCCTTCGAGCGCATGGACCGAGACAAAGGGGAAAACTTTCCGAGGAAATCACTCCAGAGGAGTCCATTTCGGTCGAAAGGAGGAAAAGAGTAAGACAGAGATTGAAGCCAGCAAGGAGTGTAAAGGGAATAAAGAGGCACTGGATATGAAATGTTTCAAATGTAAGAAGGCGGGTCACAAAGCGCGTGACTGCAAGAGTACGGGCACAGGTGAGACAAACCGCCCTCTGTCACTATCGGCACGAGTTCATGGAGTGAAGTGCAGTAATGTTCGCACCAAACATGGACAAGTTCATAGTAGCTCTTTTCCAAACATTGTTGGCAAGCGATCAACAATTGACGTGTCAATCCTCGGGAGAGACAGGAAAGCTCTTGCTCGATACGGGATCGGAGGTATCAATTCTACCCGTGAATGTGCTCAAAGAGGCCATGGAAGACGGAATCGACGTTGATGCTAAAGTCAAAGAAATCGCGCTGCCCAAATCACTGAAGGTTATGGATGCTTCAGGGAAGAGCGATGGAATTCCTCACCGCAGTGGAGGTGGATGTCATGGACAAAAGTGACAAAAAGGAATTTCCGTGCGGATGTTGGTTTCCAAAGCAAAGGAGGAGCTTATCATTCTGGGAACCAACGCAATCTCACGAATGGGATATGAGCTCAAGAAGAGGTCGAATATGAAGGACGATGAAGAAGTCGAGCAACAACGAAACCCAGCGGAGGAAAATCCCGCAGCTGTCGTTGCTCGAAGAGTCTTCATAGCACCCGGTCAAACAGGATGTGTTGATCTTCAATGTAAAAGTCAATGGTCCGAGGCAATCCTCAACACGGAGGACGACAGAATTCCGGATGGTCTATGCCAGATTAACGCCGAGGGCATTGCAAAGGTGGCGGTCGTCAACACCACCGAGGAGCCCATAGTGATGCAGAAGGGCGAGAAAGTAGGCAAATGGGAAGACGTCTACTGGGACAAGGTCCGCCTCGAGGATACGACAACCGATCTTCTTTGTAATCAAAGTGAACCAATGTCGGAGAATGAGAGACTGAAGACTATATTCAGTTTGCTGGTCAGGAACAGAGACGGACGAACGCTATCGCTTAAAATGCAGCAAATTGTAGAAGAGAAGAATCAGGTGTTTGCTGTCGAGGATAGCGAGTTGACGCAGACTACTTTAGTAGCACATGATATAGACACGGGAGACACTAAACCGATAAGACAAAAAACGCGACCTGTTCCTATAGGTACCCGCGATGAGTTCAGGGAAATTCTGAGCAGTCTGCTCCAAAGAGGAATCATCGAGCGGTCCACATCTGAGTGGGCGTCGCCGGTAGTCCTGGTACGGAAGAAAGACGGTACTATCCGTCTGTGTATTGACTACCGTCAATTGAACAAGTGCACAAAACATGATGCCTACCCATTACCAGGGATAGATGCTATGCTGCAAAGCTTGCAAGGAAAAAGGTACTTCTCAACCCTGGACATGGCGTCGGGGTATTGGCAAATTCCTCTAGCACCCGCAGCGAAGGAAAAGAGTGCTTTCACGACTTCAGAAGGCCTTTTCCAATTTACGGTCCTTCCATTCGGATTGACCACGTCCCCTGCCGTTTTCCAGCGGCTGATGGATACAGTGCTACGCGAACTTAAAAACAATGAAGTGTTTGTCTATATCGATGACATCCTCATTGCCACCGCGTCGGAAAGTAGACACTATGAGGTTCTACATTTGGTGATGGACGCATTGCTGGAAGCCAACTTGCGCTTGAAACCCCAAAAATGTGTTCTTTTCCAGGAGAGCGTGAAATTTTTGGGTCACGTGATAGATAACGAAGGAGTACATGTGGACCCCGACAAAGTCGTGAAGATAAAAGAGTTCCCAAAGCCTGAAAATATAGCGGAACTCCGGACATTTCTCGGTATGTGTAGCTACTACCGGAAATTTGTCCTCAATTTCTCCAAAATAGCAGGCCCTCTGTTCGAGTTGACAAGAACGAAGGTGCCGTGGAAATGGGGTGCTGCTCAGGATGATGCCTTCAGCAGGCTTAAAGTAGTATTATCGGCTACCCCAGTTTTAGCGCAACCTGATGTGGAAGGAGCACAGTCAGGGAAGAACCCCTACATAATCTATACCGATGCGTCCCTTGTAGGTGTGGGTGCAGTGCTGTGCCAGCAAGGGAGGGATGGGTTCCTGCATCCCATATACTTCGCGTCAAAAAGGTTGTCAAAAGCCGAGCGAAATTATCATGTCACTGACCTTGAAGCGCTCGCACTAGTGTTTGCTATGAAGAAATTTCATTTTTTCATCTACGGTATGAAAGTGATCGTTAGAACGGACCATGCGCCGCTGACCGCTATATTCCGGCGAGCAAATGTATCCGCGCGCATACTCAGATGGGCGCTGGACCTCCAACAGTATCGGCTAGCGATTGAGTATGTAAAAGGGAAAGCAAACCCGGTTGCTGACGCACTGTCGCGAGGTATACCTATCAACTCGCCCGAGGGGGAAGACACGGCTATTGAAGAAAAGGTAGTTTGCAGTGTCGGAACCCAGGAAGCCTCGAAATGGCTAGAAGAATTACGTAACGACGTCGAGTATCAACCGATCATCGTTGCATTGGAGGAAGGGAACCTCGACAAAGAGGTTAAGTTACCGTTGTCACAAAAGAAATATAAAGCCGCCGATTTCTTAGTTGAAGAAGGCTATTTGAAGTTTCTACAAAAAGACGGAACAGCAGTCCTGGTTGTTCCAAAAGAACATAGGAAGGAAATTTTTGACGAGAACCACAGTGGCTCTCTAGCAGGGCATCATTCCGCAAAGAAGCTGAAAAAAAACTGCAAAAACATGTCTTTTGGGACGGCATGCACAGCGATATCTACCGCTGGGTGAAAAGTTGCACGAGCTGCTTGTTGACAAATCCTCATAAGCGCATGATTCCGCCGTTGAAACCGTTTGTCACAGGCAAACCTTTTGAGATAGTTGCAGCTGACACACTAGAGATGAGCCTTAGTCTGTCAGGGATGAGATATGTTCTAGTTGTGGTCGACCACTTTTCCAAATGGGTAGGCGCATACGCAATGCCTGACAAAAGTGCTGCTACGGTCGCAACCACATTATTTCGTCGTTGGATATGCGAGGGAGGGCGTTGGCCCAAACAAATCCATACTGATCGAGGCACCGAGTTTTTAAATTCTTTGCTGGAGGAACTATCAACAGTGGCTGGAATTAAGCATTCCGTCACAAAGGGATATAACTCCAGAGAAAATGGTGTCAGTGAACGTGCTATTGGGACTATCCAAAGGATGCTGAAAAAGAAGGTGGTAGAGCCCGATAAATGGGATGTGATGTTGCCTCATGTGGTTTTTGCATATAACATTACCCCACACGAAGCCACAGGTGAAAGCCCCTTCTTTATACTGCACGGAATTGATCCTGTTGTGCCTTCATGTACAATTCCAAATGCTGAGGTCTCCAAGTACAAAGTGCTTGTCGACGATTATCGGACAGAATTACTTGGTGGGCTCCAGCTGATTAGAGAGGAGGTGCAAGCCAAAAATGAGAAATATAGGGCCAAAATGAAGGAAGTATACGATAAGCGCAAGAACGTGGACGTTCTTTCTCTTCCAGCGGTGGGGGGAAGAGTATTCATGAAACTACCACGAGAAAAGGCACGAGGGAAACATCCCAAATTGACTGTGGACTGGGATGGTCCGTATCGCGTATTGCAAACTGACGAAACCTCGGCGCTAATTACTAAAATAGGCAGTAATGAGGATGCACTCAAAGTCCAGTATGACTTACTTCTCAAGTGCCCAGATGAAATTCCAGACGAGCAAGTGAGTGGGAAGACCAGAAGGAAGAGAGTGAAGAGGGTCTTGAAAATTTCTGTATCTATGTCCTCAACTTGCTCATTTCAGGAAAGAGCATGAGTTCGACGTTCCTGACGACGGTCATATCCTGCACGCGCAGTTCCGTTGCCGAGGGCAAGACTTCCCGGCGTTAAAAGGAGGGCCGAGCTTCACACTTGCGAGTTGTTGCCTGTCGAAGACGTTAACCGCAGGAGACTTGATCACAGCATTGCCTCATCCGGCCAGAGCCATGCCGATTGAGTGCGTATTGGAAGCTGCCCGAGTTTTCACGATTTGGACCCAACCCGGCTCGCTGGCGCTGAAAGCACAGCGCATTACTAACTTGGAGGATAAGGTCATTGACCCACGAGCACTGGGATTTGCATACGCCTTGTTCAGGAGCAAATGCGCCCATGTCAGCAACATGGCGCGAGCCATTGAGCCAGCTACGATCATGCGTCACGGTTCGTTGACGGGAGGATGGCCGACGGTGCCGCGAAGAATCTTCGAACTCGGCTGGCTCATAGCAAGAAAAGTTGATTGGAAAGATTTCGATTCAAGCTCGATGTTGAATCGTGTGCATAATCGCGTTCTTCTCGTTGTTCCCATTGTGTTGAGAAGGATGGCATGGATGTCGGGTGGCTGTCGCACACGCGTGTTCTACTATGACGAGTTCTCAGCAATTAAGACGAAGAATGACAGCCTCTTCACAGACGATCTTGGAGCCGTAGTCCTAGTTCTGCCGCCGGAGGAACCGCGAAAAGTCACCGCATGGCTCGCGGCAATGTCCGCTATAGATCTCTGGACGGCTTGTGGCACGACTGTATACTTGGTGAACGGTCCAAGAACACCGAATGTAGTGAGTTGGGAGCACGTGACTATAAAAATGAGAAGCCATGTTTTGAACTATGTGTCGGAACACCCAGAACGTGCGCAGCTCGTGGTGGATGTTCTGCAACAGAGCATCGGCATTATGGATACACGGGCCGCTTGGGCCGCTGTGGGAATACTAAGAAACGCAGAAGAATGGATGTCCGAAGAAAGTACCCGCACATTCTATCAGTTCCTGAGACTGCAGTTGGAACCCATGCTTACATTAGAAGAGCTTCGGTTGGCCACTTTTCGAGCGCACAAAAGGAGGGAGCCCGGACCGCCGGCCCTTCCAAAGGAAAGCTCTGGTGGGTTTCATGGCGTAAATCGTAAGCACAGGAGACGGGCGATGAATCGATTGAGGGACAAGATCCGGGCCACAACGCACAAGATGCAGGAATTATGAGCTGATTCGGTATTGTGGAGTGGAGCCACAATGTCCTTTTTTACCCCCCGGCATGTCAGAAATGTTGGTCAAACACGGCCCTGGTGACCGCCCGGCGATCACGGTGGGTGGTCCTGTTTTGACCACCGACCGTGCCATTGGCAAAAAATGACGCGGGAACTACCGTATAAAAGGCCCAGTAAAACACAAGTAAGGGGTTCTCCTCTTCGGATTCGACTATCGCCGTCAACGCGCCACCACCGTTCATCGTCTCCAGTCACCGTCACTCTCCAGCTCCACGAACTTCGACCAATATTCAATCTATCTATTCTAATTGCATTCCAATTCGTTATTCACTGTTGCTAATAGTTATATAAAGTTGTTTACGTTGAAGAGCTTACTGTGACCATTCAGAACAAAACAGGGTCATCACACACCACACACAATTTTGACTCAGTGAGCGTGCACATGTTTTTGTTCAGTAACCTTTTTCCCCATACTACTTCTTCAAAGAGCCCTTATTACTGATGGGCAATATGATATAACAGAAGGAAGTGTGCCTCAATTGTCATTTCGGGGCCCCTGATTAAGTTGTTTTTGTTGCTTCCAATTTTTTCTTATTTCTCCCTTTTTCCCGCTTTCTAATTTAATTTATATGTCAGTTGATTGTTTTTAATACGTCACATTACTACATTTATTTCTACTTCTGGCAACTGATGAAGATAAAGATAAAGATAAGTTTGCTGAGAGTATATATGGGTATATTAAGATTGCTAGAAACATTCCAAAAACAAAAGAAATAGTCGTGCGCCACCTTGTGGCGCACGCCGTCCGTTATGGGTTAAACGTTGATGAGACTCACGACAAAGGATCAGTTCGTCAGAGTTTGCTATGATATATAGAGTATTACCTAGGCCGATGAGTGTGTAATTACCTCGTTCACCAATAATTTGAAGTGTTCTAGAATTCTAGAATACCACTTTAACGGCATCGCTCGGAATCGTGTAATTCACAAAACATTTCCATTGATGAGAGAGAATTGGTGATTCACCGCAATGTCTCAATACAATGAGTGTGAGCGTGGGCAAGCAATAAATCAGAAACTTACAAATTCACGCATGCGAAAAAAGCTGCTCCAATCGCGCGCTCTTCATACCGTAGCTGTTTTCGCTGCGGGAGCGCTAGCCCGCCGCGCGATGTCGCATTGCGAAGCGCGAAAATGTCGCTTTCTGTCCTAAGTACCCACACCCTCCAATATATAGTGGAAGTGAATACGGAACAAAGCGGATGGCGTTTTGAATGGAAGAATCAAGGCACAGTGACGCCCATTGCAGCGAAGAAGTTTTGCTTTTCCGTTGTCATTACGCGTCCTTTCGATTAATATCCCACTATTATGCCTCTGCGTAACTTTGCACATTTATTCAGTGCTGATATTGTTGTGTATAATCCATATTTTTGTGTTCATCACTCGCACAGTCAAGCAGGGCGCAAGAGTTATCACCAAATACATAGTTCTGTAGTTTATACCTTGAATGGTCCGTCACATATACTTTTTCTCGGCTAGAAATGTGTCGAAAAAAAAAAAAAACTCCAAAGAGTTTCCAGTCGTCAGTGCACTAGCCATCGCGGCAAGACCATTGAGGAAAAATCAAGTAGTCCGTAAACCGACCCCGAGTCTGGATCAGTGATGGAGCTGGAGTGACCAGAGCGAAAAAATTTCGCGCTGCGAAATGCGGAAAAGTCACTCTCAGTCCTAGGGAACCATTTCTGACAACACAAAGCTTTAGTAACTGAGATATTGCTCACAGTTTGTGAACCTGAATAACTGAACATTTACCGGGAAGGGTCCAACAGGTATTGGACGGAGGCCCTCTGTTTAGGAGACTCTGTGTCATCATTGAGTGCACTCTCGCAAACTTTCATCAATTTCTTTACTTCGGTGATTGCAGAACGGCTGTAGAGCTGAGCTGCGGCGGCTATGTAGCGTTCGCTATTCAACACTTCGTTGCAATTCGTCTGCAGTTCGATTATGAGTCATGCGTGTCGGTCACGCAACGACTTCACATCGTTATTCATGAAAATTAAATCTCACCTTCCAGTTCGATTGAATTCACTCAATCGATATTCCGAGATTCTTTGTGCGCAAACATCTTCATTTGTGGGCCTCTGCGCTTCCTGTGTTAAACGTACTCTCACTACTCTCTCACTTGCCTTACTCGCTGTTTAACCCTTCACATAGTTCAACTGTACATTTACGCATGTATCCATTCCCGCAACTTTTTCGATGTCTTTGTATGCAGCCACTCAAACGAAGCAGTCCTTTCTCTGGCGAAATCGGCGGGTGCAGCTGGGTTTACGGACTACTTGAACTTTCATCCATGGTCTGCCACGAATGGCGGAGGGCACAGACAGTAAGAGAACTGGCGCCTGGCTGGGCTCCGAATCTCCAGGGAGGGAGAGCTCTAGGACTAAGCCTTGTAGGAGGGAGGGACTTCGAGGTGGGTGAGCCAACTACAGTGTGGCAAAAGTTTGAATGTGTGTGATCACAATGGCCATGAGCCGCTGATAAGGTGAGAGAGCGCAGACGAGAGATGGATCTGAAGGCGGCTTAAAGGAACGGGTTCAAGTAGTCCGTCAACAGTGCAGCTGTGAATCTTTTTCACCATCAGAAAAACACGGTTAGCCAGCCACTTGATGCCCTGTTTAAATGCATCCTTCCCAAACAGTAAGAGCTTCTTCTCAGCTTTCGAGTTTCTGGTGCTTTGCTTTAACTTACTCATTGGTGCCACTATTTGGATAATATGTATATATGCTATCTATCAAAATAAATTTTCTAAACGCTTGTGCGTAAGAATACACTGACAAACCATGAGAACCCTAGCTTGGAATCTGTGGCACATCACTCGGAGGAGGGTGAGCAGAAATCTACCACCTACGCTGTCGCTGCAGATCATTCAATTTTGCGATGCCCCGATCATGCTTGCTGATTACTATTTTCCTATCGTTCCTGCTCGCTCATCATTTTCTTTTCGCATTTCTTGTTTCATCTGTTCTCTGTTTCGTATCATTTTAGCTCGAATCTGTCTTGTCCAATCGTACCGTAGCGTTCATTTGTTTGTGCTCAAGATGTGAAAAAAAACCATGTTGTTGTTGGTTCCTAACTGGAACGCCTCACTAGCATCAGTCTGTGGCAGCTCAACTGGGCTGTCGCCGGTTAATCCCCGTGCATGTGGTTAAGAAGAAATGACCTGGGAAATCTTTCTACAGCGATTTCGATTCTACTTGCGCGCGATGCCTCTTCTGACACCTCAAGCGATCGCGATCGCTCCATCGCTTGTCCGTCGCTTGCCAATCGCTCTTGGTCGAGCGATTGGCAAGCGATTGCGCAATCGCTTGCAAAGTGCACAAGCGACGGGCAATGGCTCTGCTCGATCGATACCGCAGCCGACCGCATTGGCTGGGGGCGGGCCAATCGAGACCGACGTCATAGTCGGCGACGGACAAGCGATGGAGCGATCGCGATCGCTCCATCGCTTGTCCGTCGCTTGCCAATCGCTCTTGGTCGAGCGATTGGCAAGCGATTGCGCAATCGCTTGCAAAGTGCACAAGCGACGGGCAATGGCTCTGCTCGATCGATACCGCAGCCGACTGCATTGACTGGGGGCGGGGCCAATCGCCCGTCGCTTGTGCACATTGCGCAATCGCTTGCCAATCGCTCGACCGAGAGCGATTGGCAAGCGACGGACAAGCGATGGAGCGATCGCGATCGCTCCATCGCTTGGTCCGTCGCCGACTATGACGTCGGTCTCGCTTGTGCACATTGCGCAATCGCTTGCCAATCGCTCGACCGAGAGCGATTGGCAAGCGACGGACAAGCGATGGAGCGATCGCGATCGCTCCATCGCTTGGTCCGTCGCCGACTATGACGTCGGTCTGGCCGGACGCATAGTCGGTCGGACGACAGCAACGACTGCAACTGTCGCACAGCATTGGATGCGTATCGATCGTCGGACTTGCCTGAGTATTCGACGATTAGATGCAGTTAGACAGTCAGACAGTTGCGATCGTTGCTGTCGGACGACCGACTATGCGTGCGCCCTCTCATCTGTCACGCGGTGGCGTCTTGACCAATACCCGCTCTACAGAGTTGCTGCTCAGACACGTGGCAGGCTCGACACAGGGTTGGCCTTAAGCTTCAAGACTATACCTAGTCCCTCGGAGGCATTCATGCTTAGCGCAACTGTGCGCACGTTGTGGATTTCTTTTTTCTTGCTCTCAAAAAGATCATTTTTAGGTAGAACTCGACTCGTCGAGTGTCAATTTTTGACAGTCCGCAATATTCTTCTCTTCAAGACTGATATTGAATGGCATTAATGGAAAGCGATAAGACGGAAAGTGAAGTGGTTTACGGGCGTCTCAAATTGGAAATACCAAACGGTGGAGATGATGTCCAAGTTGTTCCTCCACACGCTTCAGCTCAAAAGACTTTGCTCGAAGAAGTGAGTACAATCCGCATGGCGAAGTTCGTGTTCGCTTTAACCGACAATAGTGACTGGTAAATGGCTTGCAATTTCTTTTTAGGATGCGGCACGCATTCTACTTTCATTTAAATTCGTAGCGGCACTTGAATGGCTTATACAGTAACTTGCGGGGCCCGGCCGATGTGTACAAGTCAGTGTTTTTCTTCCTCCTTAGACAAGTCTGGTACCAGCTGTCCGTCCTCGGTGGGATGGGAGACTTCATTGGTCCAGACAACGCACGACCCAGGATTCGATCCCGGACCGCTCGCGTGGTGTAGCGCCACTCGCCACTACATCACTTTCGCCCTCATGTCGTGTAGGGTGCGCAACAATGATCGCTCCACATCTGTGCTCAATAGTTATTTGCTGTGACATTCTTTTACTTAATTTGTGATCTTGTTCTTTTCCTCTTTTGATTAGTCGTTTTTTAGTGTTTGAAAGAACGCGGTATCATATTCGAAGACCCTCCCCTACGCACGGTGCTAGAGGAACCTGGCTGTGAAAAATTCCGTGTTTATAATTACGAGGTGAGCTTGTGTTTCTGAACTGGTATTGAAAAGGTCTGAAATTTCTAATAAAAGTTCTAGTCGACCAGGTTCTCCTTCACCCACTCCAATATACGTGTATGCACTGCTCATTAGTAATGAAACTTACACTTGCAGTTATCTTAAGATCAAAAGCTGTGAACATCCTACTGTATATAGTTCGCTAAGTATGCCAGTCTGTCAATGTGTGTTTGTGCGTCCGTTTGTCACCGAAATTCTTAGCGCGCTTCGCTGCAACATGGAAGCGCTGTATTTTAAGTATGATGTAGTGAGTAGGACGGGAACATATTTGATGAGGATCAGAAAGTGATAACGACTGATAAGGGTTGATAAGAGGCGCTGCAAGGCAAATTTCACTAAGTTCACAGTGGTTGTCCCAGCAGCAGTGGGGCGTTGGTTCCGACAAAAGATGTAGACGGTGGGACGGGAACATATTTGGCGGAGGGGGGGAGGGGGGAGGGGAGAAAGTGATAACGTCTGATAAGGACTGATAACACTTGCAGCCAGATTTGAGATGACGCATTTCTTCTCAGTATCGTTTCATTTGCGTTGTTATTCTGAGCCCAAAATACCATTTTTGACTACGAATACGGCAAAAACTTCATTTTGCTTTCGGCTTAAACTCGTGGATCGAAGGCTTTATTCCTGGTATTAATCACTCAACATTCACATGCTTAACCATAGTACAGCGGCACTTGAGATGTCTAGAAAACGTGATTTCCAAGCGCATAATGTGATCCCATTAAGATATGATTATGCTAGCGCAAATCTTTGAATATGCTAAACCGAGGCGCATTTTCCTATTTGAATGAAAATGAATACGATTGACGAAATCTTCCATATGAGTTGAATGGAAACCCGACAACTGAGGGGGCCTAGCAGAGAGAGAGAGGATTTGAAAACAATAATACATAACAATCGAAAAAGGCGGACATGAATTTCTGCGGTTGAGATCCATGAAGCGTTTCGTCGGCGCATATCCGCAGGCGTTCCATTGATGTTCGTGCTCCCTTATATCGGCGTTGGCTCCAAATAATACATCATTGAGTTTGAGGACTTCCATCGCTGCAACAAATGTAATTAGCGTTTGGTACCCCTTTGATTACGGCTAAAAACCCACTCCTACTCTTTTTATGTCCTCATATTTAACTCCTCTTCTCATAGCAGCCGTTGCTGCTCCACCACGGAATGAATGCGATGTTAGGCCTCTATCATGCAGACCGCAACTTCGAAGAACATCTTTTATCCGTCTTCGCAACGAATCGGACTTTAGAAGGGGCTGTCGCGGAATCGCGTCGAAAAGAAAACGGTCTGGACTTTCATCGGATTATACCCATGAACTTATTCCAGAGAACCGCACGATTGCCCTGCACTCTGAATGCCACGGTCGTACCCCTTTTTATCTGATCTGTTTTCGATTTCGGAATAAGCAGCCACCAGACTTCGGTACTTTTCCTTTCGAGATGTTCCTTTCGCACGGCTGCTGTCTCGCTAATCCTGAGGAAAGCTATGAACGACAATAATATGATGCAAGAATCCTCTATCGTCTTAGGAGTATCGATATTCAGGGCCCAGTTTACCACTCTATCGATATCTTCATCGGTAGCCTTCTCCTTGTGCCTTACCGCAGGGGTTTGCTTCTTGGCCGAATCAATGAGGAGCTTCTGGAGGTCCGCTTCTCCCCTTTCTAGGTGCCCATAGAAGAAGTTGAGCGCGGCTACCGCCATTGGGAGAGCTTTTAACTGATTCTCATTGATCAAATGGGCCAGAAAAAGATTCCGTATTTTTCCCAGATGTGATTTATCGATCTTCAACGTTGTTGCGAAATCCTGGAATCGTTTTCTCATGGAAGAATAGGCCGCGATTGTCCCTGGAAGCCAGTGACTTGTTAGCTGATCCACGATTATTTGTGCCAACTGCCTCCCTGCCTGCGCTTCTGGCTGTCGAAATAGCTTCGGACCATGCCTGCCATTTGGGACCTAAATTAATGCTCGCCTTACCAATTGCTTAAGATGAAGTATTAGTGGGGACCAGTTAACATAGAGTTGGGTGGGGTGGGGGGCGTCAGCAACCAGGA